GGCGTACTATAGCGTAGTGTTACGTAGACTTGCGTACAAAATACGTACTTTTCGCTTATAGTGTCTACGCCGAAAGTACCCGCGTACCCCATTGCGTCCCTCAGCGTATAGTTACGTATGCCTGCGTAGGGCAGTGTACGCTCGGCGTAGTCGATACGCAACACTACGCAACTCTACGCATGGCCCGGTGTGAAAGGGGCTTAGGACATTAGCCTACATAAATTACATAATTGAGACCCTAGCTTAAGCTAGGCGGATTAGGTTCCGTTCCGCCCCCTTTTATTTAGGGTACGCGTATGCATATTCCCTTCCTTTGAAAGCACCCCCCTAAGTCCGGTGTGTAAAGTCAACACGGGCCGATTTTTTGTGTGTATTACGAGCCGGACTTTTTTGCGTGAAAATTACCCCTTTCCAGGAGGTTTTGGGAACATGAATGCGGTCCCTCCGTGGGTTCCTTACACACCGTTTTATGTCATTCTTGAGTATCGTCATACTCTTCAACCGTTTAAAATAGAATGTATAGAATGCCTGGTAAACCTGTTAAAGGTACTATGTCCCATTTGCAGGCCAAAAAATGAAAAGGTTAAATTTCAACAGCATTCGAAAGATAATACTTATTTAGAACTTCCCTAAAAAAAGGAAAAAGCGACTATTAGTTGTCGAATCGACTTAAAAGCTATAGAGCCAGTAAGTAACAGTCTCGATTTTCAGACCATTGTACCGAATGGTGGTACGTTTCATGCTGCACAAAGTTTCAATCAGATTAATTTTGGCCATGTCGGTTATGGACGTAGACAGATGCTCATGTACCCTTTACAGCTCATTTTATGTATGTTATTACCAAAGAAGAAAAAAAGCCTGTCAGCCACTCAATAGTGTTTGACAGTGAAGTCTAGCAAAGTATAATTTGAGTATTAGGATTTAGGACGCTGCTATTAAACTGCAAAATTCCTGCAAAGTTCTACAGAATTTGATGTTAGCTGCAAAAGGGACATTTGATGAGCTTTCGGGCTCTTTTGTTGTTGTTGATTGGCCAATATAAACTATACGGTATATACACATTTTTGTTTACCCTTGCATCATGTTTATTTACCACGATGTTCAGGATTCACTTCGACTATTCCCTCTTCTGTGATTTCCACGGGCGGAGGTATAACTAACCCAATGACATTCATTCAGACAACTGACCCAGTGCAGGAGAGTGGTAAATAGATTCGTATTACGTCACAATTCCGGAGAGGGCGCACAAGGGAGCCATGCCCTCTACCTCCGTTAAAAAAAATGAAGAAGGACATAAAAGAAGAAGAAGAAGAAGAAGAAGAAGAAGAAGAAGAAGAAGACGAAAAGAACCGGAGAAAAAGTAGAAGAAGTAGAGGAAGAAGGTAAAGAAGAAGCAGAATAATGATAATAATATAAGAAGAAGATTAAGTAGCATCAGAAGAAGAAGAAGAATAAGAGAAGAAGAAGAAGAAGAAGAAGAAGGATTTTACATAGAACGGGTCGCGAATTTTTTTTCCGTACTCGAGAGGGCAAATACCCCATGTGCGCATGCGCGTGGACTTGTGATTTCTCTGCTACTTCCCATACGAAATGTACATGTATTCGCATGTACTGTGCACGATTCGCGTTCTACGAGTAAACGATGGCATAGTAGTCTTCAAACACAGACTCTGATTTGCCAGTTTGACAAAACAATTACGCATATATCGTGCGTAGCAATAGTACTAGTATTCAAGTCTGAGTAGTTGTATGATTCAGACATTTTAGTGCTTACAGAAATGCATCCCAAATTGAATAGCATGGTATAGTAGTCTGCAAGCACAGACGCTAATCGGACAGTTTGACAACATAGTGTCTTGAGTAGTGCTTTATATTCAAATATGTGTAGTTTTATGATTCAGACCCTACTGGTGCGTGTATTGGAAAGGCATCTCAACTTGCAGAGTGGCATAGTAGTCTGCAAGCACAGACGCTAATCTGACAGTTTGACAAAATAGTGTTATTCAAGTCTGAGTAGTTTTATGATTCAGACCCTACTGGTGCGTGTATTAAACTACACAAACTTGCATAAAATCACTACTCATCAATACACAATATATTATTATGTCCTTGCAGACTACTATACTACACTCTACACATTGAGATGCATTTCTAACGCACGCACCAGTAGGGTCTGAATCATACATCTACGCAGACTTGAATAAAGTACTTCTCAGCACACTACTAGTATGTTGTCAAACTGTCAGATTAGCGTCTGTGCTTGCAGACTACTATACCATTCTATACAAGTTGCAATGTATTTCCATATGCACTACTGGGTCTGAATCATACAACTACACAGACTTGAATAAGCACATCGCGACACATACGCATATTGATTTGTCAAACTGGCAAATCAGAGTCTGTGTTTGAAGACTACTATGCCATCGTTTACTCGTAGAACGCGAATCGTGCACAGTACATGCGAATACATGTACATTTCGTATGGGAAGTAGCAGAGAAATCATAAGTCCACGCGCATGCGCACATGGGATTTTTGCTCTCTCGAGTACGGAAAAAAAATTCGCGAACGGGTCAAAGGGAATAATAAAAACGAATTAAATCAAATCAAACGAAATTAAGCCCAGATAACTTGTCGCTGAGAACTGCCTCTTTGAGAGTAAAACTCACTTGTTACCGAAATATATGGTGCCCATCAAAATTGTACGCATATAAATATGTCGTCACATCAAAACTTCTAATGATTTTATGTGCATTAATATTAGTTCCAGTACTTTCGACATACACACTCACACATTTTAGTTGTTCTTCTGTTTTTAATGTTTTTGATTAATGCCGGCGAAATAGTTCACGATCGTTGCCATCAGAAGTTAGTTGGATTTATGTTGAAAGTTATTCATGCATGTCAGAAGTGTTTCCTTGGTAGACATTTCCTCGATTTATTGGTCATAGTTTAAAGCAGTTTTGAAGTACTCATCGCGACGATGGTACATTTATGATCAGGCGCGTACGCAGGGGGGGGGGGGGTTACCCCCCCTTGAGTTTTTTTATGTGTATGTTTTTTGGGAACCCCCCCCCCCCCTTTGAGTGTTTTTTTTTTATTAAAAAAATCCTTACAGATGACCTAGAAAAGATGACCTTACCCCCCCCCCCCCACCAACGGAACGGAATGTCGATGGGTCAAAATGTAAAAATTCAGGACCCCCCCCCCCCCCAAAAAAAAAAAAAAAAAAAAAAAAAAAATGTCCTCTTACCCGCCCCCCCCCCCGATTATTCAGCGGCTGGCTGAGTCGTTGCGAAATTTTTGGCCCGATTTTAACCCCCCCCCAGCCCCTTGAAAAAATCCTGCGTACGCCACTGTTTATGATAACATCTAAAGATCAAGGGTTTGTAAAGTTGTACACGTTTGCTTTGGTGGCGGTTGAAATTGTTTGTCGCTTACCTGTATGACTCTCTTAGAATATCTATATCAAACATCATCTTTTCACGAAAGGAATGTAAAGAAAGCTCTTGACATTTTATTTATATGTCAAGTGTTTAATCTTTAAACCGTTGGTTCTATTGTATTTTATTTACAATAAGTGTACTGCGCGGTATTGGTAAACGCCAAGGTTTCATGGTACATCGGGAAAAAGGTGATTTTTGGTACATCTTAATCCAGGCCGCCTGATATCAGATCAATATCGTTTTATTTAAAGTGTTTAAAGTGTACCTTTCTTTTCCCAATTTTCTCTATAATTTATTCTTTCTTCCTTTTCTCTTCTTCTTCTTCTTCTTCCTCTTCTTCTTCTTCATCTCCCTCTTCTTCGCAACCTCCTACTTTTGTTTTTCTTCTTCCCTCTTCTTCTTCTACTTCTCTTCTTTTCTTCTTATGGTAACATATAAAATCCTAATTAGACAAAGCAACATAAATTGGTGGGCTGAACTGTGATTAAACATCGTACAGTTATTTAAAAAAAAATAATCTTAAGAGTAGTGCTCCCAATACTATTTTATGTAAGTGTCGAAAGTGAAACTAATTAAAAACTATCTTTATCTGTTTTAATATCTTCGAATAAAATATTGCTATGTCAGCGGAAGTTAGCCGGCTGTTGCATTTCCTGTTTTAAACAGTTGCTTTAAAAAATAAGTATCGGGAAAATGGTTCGATCACAATGTTAAAGGGATAATTCACCAACAATTTAAATGAATATAATGTCATAGCATGACAAAAATATCGTATTGTTAGAAGCCTTGAATTCATCTTGAATTCGAAGGTACCAACATTTATTTCTAACAGATATTCTTAATTCAATTTGGCAACACTGCGATGTCAAATGCTACCCTCTGAAGAAAGTATGTTTTGTAAAATCCCTTACGTGTGTGTGTGTGTGTGGGGGGGGGGGGGGGGGCGTGCGTGTGTTCGTGTGCGTGCTTGTTTGTTTGTGTGTGCTCTTTTGTGCGTGGGTCTTGTTTGTTTCTGCGGCCTTTCGGCCCTTAATTTAATAAAGTACTTCTTAATTTTCATTCTTGTTTATAGTGATCAGGTTCTCTGAATTGTACGGAAGCTTCAACGTGCAGAGAGAAGGCGATCTGTTTAACTCGCCAATGGGCCTTGCTAGGGCCTAGAAGGCGACAAAAGCGAGTTGTTAAAGTCACCAAGGCCTCATGCTTAAGATGAAAATGCTAAAAGGCCCGTAATAGATAAAACTCATCAGAGCGCTTTCAGGCCGAGAAGACAAGAATGCGAGTTGCTGAAAGTAGCCAAGACGAGATGACATCTCTCGGCTTAAGCAAGGCGCCTTGTCGAGTTGTTCATACACGTAACTCGCTTTCTCTACTTAAATTATGGCGCCTTGAATAGTTAAACCAGTCGCCTTCTCGCTGTATGTTTAACTATCCCTAGCATTTGACACATCTTTGAAAAAAGAATACCTGCACAATTTGCAGCAAGTCACTTTAAAGTAGATAAACAAAGTAATAACTAACATGGAATTATAATTTGTTAAGGGGATTTTATTTTCAATACTTTTTATTCAAGCTTTTTGCCAGAATATCTCATGGATATCTCCTCGGTTTGAAAAAGTCCAATTCCCGATGGGTGAGAACGGAAAATGGGCAAATTCAACAGGAATGTGTCCATTCAACACTACTCAAGGTTGGTTTTGATGGTTTTTCATTCATTTTTTTTTATTTGAGGATGTAGACGGGGGATTAGGTAGGATAGCACGATCAATATGATCATTTCCCTAGTGGCATGTTCAGATATGGCGCGGTAATCCACCGAAAAAAAAAAGAAAAAAAAAACCGCCGCGTTTTCTTTCCTGTAAAGTGTTAATGATGAATGGCAACTGCGCGACCGAAAACGACTCATTTACTCGCAATATCATTTCCCAAATAGCCTTGATATCATGATGTTCAACAGATGTAGTGTGTTTTCACTTCATTATTTAACACTAGCGGATCTAGATAGGGGCTTGGAGTCTAAAAGCACCTCCCTATAGATCCAAGCCCCCAAACTGTTTCATGAATAAAAATGAATTTAAGCGAGGGACACGTAGACAATAAATGCAGGAACCCCAAGCTCCCAGCCCTCGGACCTAAGTTGATATTCTATATCCGCTTGTGTTGTTGAACGTATTGAATAGTTCAAGAGTCATGAATAGCTTGAGAAAATTTCAATCATATCCGATACATCTTTACTTTATTTATGTCTCCTTCTTTCTTCGTATATGGTAATAATTGTTTGCAAGCGTTCTGGTGATCATATATAAAGGTATGTTTCTTTTTTTTTTAATATACCGAACAGCCAATGAACCTATTGGACGGGCTCTGTGTATCGGCGATGGTATTACCAAGAGCCAGTGGCAGCCAGTGGATAATTGCGGACCATTTAGAAATGTCAAAGACATTCTCACCGAAATTGCAAAGGTTTTTGGAATTTTATTTTCAAATTTCGATCATTGAAAAGAGGCTTATTAATAACTTTCATATGTAATGCAATCGTGTTTAGTATATTGTAGATACCACTGATCATGATAACCTGAAAAAAAAAGTTTGATAATTTTTTCTTTTTAAAGCAGATAAGAATAAAATAATCTATCATTGAGTAGATTTCAACCAATTTGGTACATTATTTTTTACCAACTATTGTGTACAATTTTACACAAAAAATATTCAAGTTCCTTTCTTACAGAACTTCTTATTTTGAATGTATCGTTACTTTACATTTAAAAGTATAAAATCAAGCGTAACAGGTAATGAATAGCCCACGGTCGATCAATTCTACTGATTGTTTAAATGTCATTCCATTCACAAATGCATTGGACGATTTTGAGTTCTTAGCATTTGTTTCTAAAGTTCTTATTAATTAAGTGTTAGGCGCTATATAAGCACTGTAATTATTATTATTATTATAATAAAGATGGTACAGTATATGGAAACAGGAACCCAGTTATGTGTCATTGCAATATTGTAAGGAAGACATGTTCGCTAATTTCATATTACCTTAATCAATCAACGTTTACGTGTTGTAATGATATTTCCCTCAAATTTTAGGTAATCGTAGGTGAAAAAAACGCAGGTAAAGTGAGCAAGCAAGTATCATCTGTAACTTCCAACATCGAAGATATCACATCAAATGACATCAAACTTGTGGCAGAGATAACATCTAACATTGTGCAGCAAAATCTGACTAGTGAAGAGGTATTCTGCACGATACCAGACCAATCCTATTGAACATGAAGTTGCGATGTGGTTGACGAATTTTATTATGTCCCGATAATTATCTCTTGGGGGAAAAAACGATGTCTTCCCTCCGATACATGTATGAAATTGTAATAGATGTGAATGAGGTAAATCCCATAACCGGTTTCAACAACATTGGACACCTGAAAGCTAAACTAGTTATGAATGATAAATTTACAAGAGCCTAACCCCGTATCAGGCTCTTTTTGGAATTTTTGATATAATATTGTATTTGCTCCAATAGAGATTTAGGTCTGTCCTTTCATATCTTTTTGACTTCTTCCAGAAGTTGTGTAACAGCTTTAAAATAATAGCTGTGCTAAGGCTATCATGTTATTCAATACCCCATCGTCATTCAGTTTGATTTCCGAGATTAGGCAACTTTCTCCTATTATATTTTAAATCATCTTCTTCTTTTGTATTTGAATTGACAGGTAACAGAGTCTATAACGAGTATTGTGAGCAATGTAGCTCAGGTAGAAACGGAGGAACTTGAAGCCGCAGAGGAAGAAGGTGGGGCAATAAGTAAATTTGTCCAGGCTTTTGAGGAACAAATCAATCGTGTGGAGGTTGCCGATGGCGGGTTGCTCAACATTCAGCAGCCAAGTGTAGCCGTAAAGGTGATTTTAGATTTATGTCATAGGCTATGAAAAAACAATTTGATTTCAACCAGTATACTAAAATAAAAAATTTCATGTTCAAGTTATATAATTGTTTGCATGGATATTCAAAATAACAGAATTTAAAAAAATCTGACACTGCCGTTCATCCATTGTGGTTTCAATCAATCTGGTGTGTCCAACAAGGCGCGACACTTCCACCATTTTTCTTTATAGTTTAAAAGAGATCGACCAAACAACATAATTATTTGTGCATTTATGTGTGCGGGATACATCACATTTTGAATTTGAGGAATGCCTTACTTAAACGTCTGTGCATGGTGCTAATCGCCTCATTTTCAATCCTCATCATGCTAATGATAGTAATGATAACAATGATGATGATGATGATAATGATAATAACAATAAGAATAATAACAAGATTGAAGTTCTAATTCACAAAACAGATTCAGAGTGTACTTGCTGATGATGTAATGAGCGGTCTCGTGCTTTCGCTAGCTGGATCCAGTCCTTCAGACCTGACCAAATCCAATATTACAATCAGTTTAGCCGTAAAGGTGATTTTAGATTTATGTCATAGGCTATGAAAAAAAAAATTGATTTCAACCAGTATACTAAAATGAAGAATTTCATGTCCAAGTCAGGCGCGTACACAGGGGGGGGGGGGGGGGGGGGGGGGGGGTTAAACTTTGGTATTTTTGTGTGTGTAACCCCCCTCCCCCATTACCCCCCTAAACCCCCCCCCCTTTTTTTAATTTTTTTTTTAAAATTATTTAAAAAAATAAATAAAAAAAAATATCCCCATGGCTGACCTAAAAAGGTGACCTCACCCCCCCCCCAACAAAGCAAAATGTCAATTTTTCAAATTTCGAGACCAAAAAAAGAGAAGAAAGTGTCCTCTTCCCCCCCCCCCCCCCGCTTATTCAGCGGCTGGCTGAGTCGTTGCGAAATTTTCGGCCCGATTTATAAATGTTAACAATTTATCTAATAAAACAAAATATTAAACAAACAAAATTGCTGTGAATTTTTTTAATTGAAATTTACAGTTTTTATTGAAAAAGAATTAAAAATAAAAACAAATTATTGAATAAAAATTTTAAACCAAAATCAAATAAAAAAAAAAAAAAAAATTAAATCCCAAATATTAAGTCCCCAATAGTACTCCCAAATAGTACTTTTTCCGAGCAACCTTAAAATAGTTGAAATATTTCTGGTCATGTGACGAGCTCTCAACCAAGCCAATAATTTTTTGATGGAGAATATAATATGGTCTATGTATAGACTTTATGAGAGCTTATGGGCAAATAATCAGTTTCATTTGTGCATTCGAAGAAGTTTTAGTTTGGGCTGATTTTTTTTCTTCATGTCACAGGATATCCATAGACAGGAGGATTCATTTATCAAGGCATACAACATCCTGACTTACATTGGATGCTGTATTTCTATCTTCAGTCTTCTTGTCACATTGGCAACCTACCTGTGGAACAAGTGAGCTCATTGGAAAAATCATGCAATTGTGTATGTAATACAAAGAAGACAGAATACATACTATACTCTAGTCGTTTTATCTTCGATTTTATTTGGTAGCATTTGAATAAATAATATCACATAAACTGTGAAAAAGATGCATTTATAGAATTTAGTAAATAATCATGCAAATGTACACTGTTGGTCATAATGGTGGAATAATTATTTTTACCCCAGTTTAGGGAAGGATTTTTAAAAATTATTTAGTTCTAATAGATCTAGATAATGGCATACATTCTCAGATTCTATTGAATATTAATTTGCGAGTGTTTGTTTTGCGTGACTGCTAAATCATATGTGTGCTACTATGCTGATCAGCTAGGGAACCTACGTCCTTAAATCATAATTGACAGTAATGAGGATTAATGCCTCACAAAAGGGCACTAATATAGCTGATGGACACGATTTTTATCCTGGGGCCTCACAGTATTACGAGGCCATTGCTTAGCCCCTGAATCATGACTGTACGCAGTGTTTGCTAGGGTACGCGGCCCCTTCCACAAATCCCCCAAAACGAAGAAAATGCAATAAATTTTCAAAAATTCATTGCATTTTCCCCCGGCCCCCAGCAGGAAAAATTCTTCTGTGTGGCCATGCCTTGAACCATAATGCATAACCCTGCAGAAGAATTTTTCCTGTTGGGGGCCGGGGGAAAATGCAATGAATTTTTGAAAAATTATTGCATTTTTTTCGTTTTGGGGGATTTGTGGAAGGGGCCGCGTACCCTAGCAAACACTGCGTACAGTCATGATTCAGGGGCTAAGCAATGGCCTCGTTACTGTGAGGCCCCAGGATAAAAATCGTGTCGATTAGCTATATACTAGTGCCCTTTTGTGAGGCATTAATCCTCATTACTGTAAATTATGACTTAAGGACGTAGGTCCCTTAGCTGATTAGCATAGTAGCACACATATGATTAAGCAGTCACGCAAAACAAACACTCGCAAATTAGTATTCAATAAAATCTGAGAATGTATGCCATTATCTAGATCTATTAGAAATAAATAATTTTTACAAATCCTTCCCTAAACTGGGGTAAAAATAAATATTCCACCATTATGACCAACAGTGTAAATACCCTCCCCCTTTTTTGATGAAATTATCTCGTAATCGAATGACTTGTGAAGTACGTGTAAACCTACAGCACAGTTCTCTTCGGTATCACTTCTGTTTGAAATAGCCGGGCAGTTGAGAACTACTCTCAACAATGTACAGTTTGTGATAAAAAGAGAAAGAGAAGGGGGAGGAGGAGGAGGGGAAAAAGGAGAAGAGAAACTGCCGTAAAATCATTAGTTGCTTAGTGATGTAGGGCGTGACGAGGTTCATAAATAGGTTACAATATTAATTTGTTTATATCATATCGATATCGTATATTGATATATTATCAACTTCGTAGATCACATCCTCTGCCTCATGGTGTTCTGTTTGCATAGAATAGGAAGCGTATTTATATCGATTTTATTTAGTAGTTTAGTTTAGTTTATTTCTTTATTAAAAAATCACACCCGTCATCAGACGGCCGGCCTAAAAAGGCCTATGAGTGATACATCAAAAATAACAGTCATAAACAATTTGACATGATAACATAGTACAAATATAAGTATAACATAATTACAATCACAGGGAAAAAAAAAAAAAAAAAAAAAAAAATTATTCATTTAAGTAGTACAAAAGTTCTTGGCGAGTTGTTAGGATTTGGTTTGCAAAACTGGCTATTAAACTGCTTAGTGAGTCAGCTGAAATTAGGTAAATAAATTGTTGGTATGTGGAAAGATCTGAAAACGTATGGTCATGTTCTATTATATCATAAAGAAGTTGTGATCTGATGTCATTATATGCAGAACAAATCATAAAACAGTGGAACTCATCTTCTATGTTACTAGAATTACAAAAAACACAGTATCTTTCTTCATATGGGACATTTTGATAACGCCCAGTTTCAAGAGCTATAGGGGCACAACCGCATCTAAACAAAGCCAAAGCACGTCTGTTTGATCTATTTTGACATTCTATTACATATTTTGACGTGTTCAAAGATTGTTTAAAATTTCGATAAGTTCTAAGTTTATTTTTAGCATGAGCTTTCTTCCTTTTATCGTCAAAAATTGAATTTCTCCATCTATTCTCGATAAATAATTTACATGACGATGACACAGTTTTTACAAAATTGTCTGTACTAACAAGATTAGCTAAAGGTAAAACATGTACACATTGTAATTTTGAAAAAAGCTCTTTGACTCTGAAACACCAGTTTTTGACTCCATTGTTTGCTAGAGATTTAGACCAAGAAAAGATTTTACTTGGGTAGCGGTCACTATTGAGTTTACTTAAGTTACTCCATAATCTAACAACCGATTGAATTTGGTGATAGAATGGTGGGTCCCAACCCATCTCCCCTAACACTGCATTGTTAGGTGTATATTTCCCCACTCCTAAGTAAAAACGGCATGTTCTGAAAAAGACACTATTTATAACAGAATATTCATCCACACCCCAAATACCACTTGCATATTGTAGTATGGGTAAAATCATGGCATCATAAAGTTTTTTATATGTCTTGAATAAAGAGCCTCCAATCAATTTGAATTTACTTATAACAACACCCAATGCTCTGGATGCAGACTGAGCTAGCATTCTGGTACCCTTCTGAAAGCTAAGGAATTCATCAAACCACAGCCCAAGGTATTTGTAGGAGTCCACAATATCAAGCTTTTCTCCATTACAATTGAATAGTGCTGAGGTTTTAGCTTGGGACTTCTGTCTAAAATGTACAATTTGGGTTTTTGAGGCATTAAATTCAATCCTCCACTTGCGAGCCCAAGCGCCAATATTGTCTAACATACGTTGAAGGTCATTTTCATTTTCAGCAAGTACCACAATATCATCTGCATACATAAGCATGTCAATATTTGTATCTAGTACTTGAATCCCCCCCATTACATAGCATGACATTGTCAACTAAATCATTAATGAAAATGTTAAAAAGAACGGGAGACAAAAGGCAACCCTGTTTGACCCCTGACTCTACTTTAAAAAAACTAGTATGATTACCATTAACATTCACAGTACACGTAGTGTCCCGGTAAAGAGCCTGTATACAATTGTAAAGCTTACCATGAACACCAATTAATCTCAACTTGTACCATAGCAAAGATCTATTAACTCGATCAAAAGCTTTTTTTGCATATATAAAACAAACAAAAGTGTCTTTTTTACAAAGCTTTCTGTTTTCAATCATAGAGTAAAGACTGTACAGGTGGTCGAGACAACTCCTTTTCTTACGGAATCCATTCTGTTCTTCCTTAATAATACATTCTTTTTCAAGGAAATGAGTTAGTCTTTCTCTTATGATATCACAATAAATCTTACATATCACCGATATCAGAGTTATACCTCTATAGCTTAATGGTTCACGTTCATCCATTCCAGGTTTTAAAATTGGATGGATTATGCCTTTTTGCCAAGCTGTAGGGGAAATACCACGTTCAAAACAAAAGGAGAGGAGGGCATGAAGGAATTGTATTGAAGCATTGTTTTTTACCATCTCCGAAACGATACCATCTATTCCGGCAGCTTTGTTTAATTTTGCCCTCTTTACAGCTGCAGTCACCTCTGTTAATTCAATAGGAAGGTTTAAATCATTTCCTCTAGTATCAGATTCTTGAACATTACACTCTAGGATTTTCAACTGTGTGTTAACATGTGATAAGAACCCATCATCGAAACCACTGCCATTATCTTTAAACAGAGAATGGAAATCATTTTCCCATTTACTCATAACATTATCATAGTCTTCACTTATTTCTCCATCATCATTTATTATTTCCATTGGTATATTTTGGTACTTCTTTTCTTCATCTGACCCTATTCGACCAATCTCTTTCCAAAATGAACAAGAGTCTTTATTTACCATTGCATCAAGAGCATTGATTTTTTTATACTGGTAAGCTCTCTTAGCTTTTCTGACCGCTTTATCAAAAATCTTATGTGCATTTTTGTAATCAATAAACATCACTTTTTTACCCTCAGTATTCTTGCACTTCAACCATTCCTTTTGTTTACATTTAACACAATTCCATAACGATTGCAGATTATCATTCCACCAGACCTTAGGTGAATGGGGAAGACCTTTTTGGGGTCTACTAGTTTTCCTTTCCCTACAACATTTATGAACACATTTTTGGATTACTTTTTCAAAGCCATAATACACATCGTCCAAATGTTCCTGCGATGATAGACCACAGTTTAGTTTACTTATAAGCTCACTTACTGCATTTTTACTTTCTTCATCGGACATAAAGGAATCATTAATATCATTCAGTTGGTATCGCTTGGATAAATTTTGAAAACTGGGTTTAGAGTGCATCTGGTTATCACTATTTCTACACACTGTTTTTCTGTAAAAATGCCAACATAGTATTGAGTGATCTGGCACTGAACCCACCACTGGGATTGAGTGTTTGTCTAGTAGATCAGCAACTAACAAAACATCAAAATTGAAATACAAATTTATGTCATGGTAAGGTACAATGCAATAGTCCACAACTGATTTTCCTTTGTAGGACACACAGGTAAAATTATCATTTGTATATCGACCATTCAGACAGCAAAAATTTGAGGTTACACAAAAATCTGCAAACAGTCTACCTTGAGAATTTACTTCAAAGTCTATAGTCTTTCTCTGTCTCATTGGGTCTATGCCTTCAATAAAGTCTTGTAAACCTCCGGTTCTGGCATTAAAGTCACCACATATCTGTTAGTACGTATATTTCCCATTTGACATCGTCGTGAATAGTTACAGCCGGACTAGTTTTATTCCGCACGCGTCGCCATTCTTATGGTTTTTTCCCCACTAATAGAAGAGATAAATAAGTAAAGCACAATCACGTAATCTCCTTCTTTTCTTTGTTGTTGCTGTTGTTTGACATTTATATTATTCTGTGTTGCTTATGAAGTGATGGCAAGCCTGTAAAATGCATGGTACACTTTAGCTTCGACGCTTTTGCTTTCCTAACCTCATTTCAATGTTACAATCTTGATAGGGATTTGGGTTTGAGGACCAAACAGACTAGTCAGATCTTCATCTGTCTGTGCCTGACCTTGCTGTGTCTCTACACAACATTTGTCGTCATGATCTCTCTGGATTCTATCAGAGATTATCGTGAGGTCCGGGCTGGACCCTGTGGGTTACTGACGGCTCTAGTTCACTACTTTGTTTTGTCTTCCATTGCATGGATGGGTGTGGAAGGGTACAGTACCTACCTCATGATTGTGAAGATCTTTAACACCTACATCCAGAATTTCATGATCAAGGCTTTCTTCGCTGCGTGGGGTAAGATATTTCTTTCCGTTCCAATAAATTATCAATAATTTATTGCATCCACCCCGGTCCCTAACAGGAAAAAATCCTCCGCACGGCCATGCATTATGGTTCAAGGCATGGGCACTCAGAGGATTTTTGTTTCTGTTGGGGACCGTGAGAAAATGCAATGAATTATTAATAATTTATGGCATTTCTTTAAACAAATATTATTTGTGGGGGCTACCCCCTACCCTAGCCCCTGTAGCGTACATTCATGATTCAGTGGCAACGTAATGGCCTCGTTACTGTGAGTCCCCAGGATCAAAACTGTGTCGATGTGCTATATTAGTGCCCTTTTGTGAGGCATTAATCCTCTTTACTGTTATTTATGACTTAAGGACGTAGGTCCCCTAGTTGATAAGCATGCTTTATATAGCAGTCACGCAAAAAAAAAAACACTCGCAAAATGTTATTCAATGAAATCCAAGATTGTATATACTGTTATCTAGATCTATCAGGAATAAATCATTGTCAAAATGATTCCATAAATTGGGGTGAACAAAATTATTCCACCATTATGACCAACAGGGTAGATGTAGGTACTGACAGTATTAGCATAACAATGAGTTTGGCAAGGTGCTGCAACCTGCTATGCTGCAACCAACTCTCAGCAATAAAAAAAATAATGAATGGGCGATCAAACGTAATTCTTTAACTATTAATTTAACACAGGAAATTTTTATTTTCTCTGTTTTCTAATGAATAAAATAATTCCAAAACTCTGGTAGTGTATTATGTTCAATTAACCATACTAGCCAATAGTTATGGAAAGATCATTTTAAGACGGATTATAGTCAGACAGGCATTATCTAACAATGCACATGAATTCGTCATTGTTGCCATTTATGTGTAATTTCTTCATTGTAATTATTAATATTAAATGGTACTCGGCATTTCATGTGGTTTGTACAAAGAAGACCCTAAACCCCAGAGAGTATAAACATCAGGATATCTAGTTTATTGTATAAATAATAATAGCGTCGCCACAACCGTGGTAGTAACTTGTGAGCTGGACAGCACATCGATAACATGAGTAGGTCTATCAGAGAAACGGAGAAATGAATGAGCTAGGCACATGTTCAATTTAGGCGTATTGTGAATGACTATAAACATTGTATTTCCTTAAACACATATGTCATTTCAGGAATTCCTGCACTTATCGTGGTTCTTACTGGAGCTATTGCTAGAGACTCTTACGCCCATGATGACCTGTAAGTGGTAACGTTTGAAAGTCAAGCTGGAACATTGGATTGCCTAGCCTAGGGTATATCTAATGATCTTCAAAATTCGGATTCGGCAAGATGAAGTTTCTGTACTCTATTCTAGTGTTTAGGCATTGGGTATATTGGTATCTCATGAGTATTACAATCTCTGATGTTGTTGGTAACTTATGGATGACAAAGCTTGGACTTGTCAGAATAAATAATGGGAAATCATTTACAATGGCGAGTTAAATGTTTCAAGGACCATGGACATTTTGTATAACTATGGCTAGGATAGTCAGTACTGATTGACTTAATTCAGTCACTTTATAAAATGCATATTTACTATCAACAGCTGCTTTCTACAATTATGGGCTCAAATCGGTTGTCTCCTGATTCCCATGTCCATCATCCTCCTCATCAACATTGTCATCTTCATCCTGGTGGTTCGACAATTGATCCGATCTGCCAACATCGCTGGTCGGATGAAGGGAGAGGCTAAGGTAGAACGCCAAGAGGCTATCGAATTCGTCCAGAATGCAATCTGCATCTTGCTCCTGCTCGGTCTGACCTGGGTCACCGGATATCTGCTTTTGATCCCGTTATTCAGTCAGGTAAAGCCAACTAGCTTCAAGAATAAGTCATTGCGGTATCTATCTCTTCTAAGAAGTATCTTGAGAACTCAGTTATGATAACTACACACAATAGCATTACCTCTTTAGATGTTTAGTATCTTTTGAACATGACAGAGAATGGCATATACCTAATTATTATTTCTGAAACATTTGCGTTTAACAGGTGGCTCAGCCAATCTTCGTCGTCCTGAACTCCTTCCAAGGATTTTTCATCTTTCTACTCTACTGCGTCCGGAAGCCTCACATCCGTAAGAAATGGGGGCTAACTTGTTAATGATGATCAGGTTGATTACACCAACAATGATGTTGCCGCCAGTCTCCCTAAGGATGCAGAGGATGACACCAAACACAATGAGAGGAATGATGTAGATGCTAGTTACACCACCAATTTTTCAAAGGCCAATGGCACAGTTGAGGTTTTAACTATAGCTCAGCACTCATTCTTACTTGATTTTTTAAAAATGTAAACGAGTTTTTATTCACTTATTTTTAAGCAAGAAGAAGATCTTATTAAGAGAACCTGATGTTACATTGGTACACTAGGCAGGGGAGGAGTGGCCTTGGTGTAGGTTGAACCCCTATCCCTGTTCTCCGAGTATTTCGCAATTACCAATATTCCGTCACCACATATTGGGGCAAACAAGTGATTGTTATTGGTTATCATCTTTATTATATTTCAATGACGAAATCATATATGTACATTTGTATGCACCTTATCGAATTATTTATGATCAGATGATTATTTTTTTTTTTTGGTGTATTACTCAGAGAATAGGTCTTTTCATTGTTAAAAAAGTATGATGGTGATGATGATGGTTCGATGGGTATTTTTCAATTCATTTTAATAATTTTTAGTCATTAAATGATATATATAATTATGTATATAACGAGCGGAAATTCAATATTAATGGTTGCGTTACTTAAATGCAAGGTCCCCATTGCTATTCTCTTATTTAATTTCTTTGCAAAGGTTGAACAAAATTGTCTCCCCCGGGAATCGAACCGTGTCACTGGCAGAGAACGACAATGTCTTTACCACGAGATCACAGAGACGGGCCAGTGGCCTCGGTGATACCAGATTTAATTGACCGACAGATTTGGCAAATCTCATGGAACAATTTACATACATGTGCCATGGTTGACGGAAAGAGACAAGTGGATAATAAATAATGTAAAAATAATAGGAGATACAAAATATACTAATTTTTTTGCTTTAACCCTTTGTAAAATAATGAAAAATATATGTGTTCTTGAAGTAAACTTGTATACTGTCTATTTAGTTTTACGTGCTTCTCAATTTAGAGTATCTCGGCCAAAATTGATATCACTATATTTTACTCAGAAAAATGTACTTTATTGTAGATTATTTGGGTTGTATTATTTACCAATTTTGTTAAAGCATAAACTTCATTGTTCACGATGTCCCTGAAAAAGGACACCCAAGTTTATCATTAAATTACTCACTGATCCTGAATTAATCTTGGTTAATGTGCACACAAAAGAGAAACTAATAAATTAATTTATAATTTACCTTCATACAGCGCTCAAAGTTAATTGTCTCTAAACCCTATACATGATTAACTTACACTTTCAGGACTCCTTAATCCTCTCTATCACATGGTGCACCCACAAGCCTACTGTATATTACACGAATTAATGAAGAAATTTTATGTAATAGTCATGACAGGAATGTACGTATAGAAATACGAATGGAAGACAAAAATATATAGGTGCACATGTTCGCAGACACATTCACAAATGACGAAATTAATAACCGCAGGAGAAATACTGTTTCAATTAACTGTGTGAATGTTAGGCATTAAGACTAGCCTTAAAATCATTAAATTGGAAGAAGAGAATAGCATAGAGATATCGACTGCTACGAGAGGTCTGGCTGTTTTTATACGCTCAAGGGAAATTTGCCTCCGCTGCTATCAACCCTCGGCGCGCATGAATTTCCCGAGAGCCACTATAGAATCAGCCAGTCCTTGAATATCAAAGCAGACGATATCCCTTAAACAACATATTAAAATGATTATAATATACATGTACACATAATACCGGTACACACTATTCAGAATATTGTCCATTAAGTGTTCAACCATTCAAGTGCAACCCATTTCAGCTGTTTAAAATGCATCGCTTGAGGCGCCGCTGATCCTTCTTTCTCGCATATCAAAATCATTGATCTAGTATATATCAATGATTTAAATGATTATTTTTCAACCATGTCATCATCTTTAATAGGATTAAAAGGGGCTTCCCCTGATTTTCTGAACCCATTTAGAATTGGCCTCATAAATATGTCCTTATCATCGATTTCGAGAGTACCTACCAATAACTCAGAAAAGAGTTATCACGAGCGCCATCTCTTGTTTAAAACATAACATTCAAATGCAGACCAGTACTATTTCCTTACATCACCCCCTTCTATCTCTCTCTCTCTTTCTTTCTTTCTCTCTCTCTTTCTCTCACACACGCCATCCTTCTCTTCTTTTCCTCAGTCTTTCACATAATTTCCCTCCCTTACCGGTGTTCCTGCGAAAAGGTGCCCCTAGTGATCGACCGCCCCTACTGCAATAGAATAAGTGCTCACCTCTTTCAATTTAATGTGCCACACATTTTGTTTGAAGTTTTGAAAGTAAGGTATCTGGTTTTTAGAATAGTGTTTTTATTTGGCATACTTGTTCGAACACACATGCGTTTCTGGTGAGAATCGAGAAGTCATGTGTATGTTTAATACTTTATATGCAACAACGTACGTTTTTAGGAATGTAAGCACATGTGTGAAATTTTCTGTGTAACCGAGGACCTATCCCTTTCCCTTAGGGCATGAAATTAAAAACATTTGCATTGGTTAAGAAACTGGGGACGTTTTTTTTTTGTGTGTGTCCACTAAGTGAATGTACAGTTCTCATGTGTGTCCTCGGTTTGGTACCCTAAACCTTTTTTCTATATTTTTTATTAAATCGATACCTAGACGAGATAAAAAAAAACACACACACAGACAGGCACGCACACACACACACACATACACAAACACACATACGCACACGCAGACCACTTCATGACTCGTGTTCCATTTCCCTGTTTAGTCCTTAACTTTGATAATGAGATTGCCAATGAAACAATTTTCAGTAAATTTCAAATAATACCTTTTTAGAGTGCCATTATCTCCTCTTAATAATTCTTTTTATTAATTTTTCTTTACCGATGTTCATCAGTGTGAATTATGCAAATGTCTATATCATTGTTTTCCCCATTCATACAGAATTCCGCTAGTCGTCAAAGGTTTATGCACATTCTCATGTTTTTGTAACGCCTGTTCCGTGTTTATACATAGATTGAATAAAATTGAAGAGATTCAACACTCAACCAATTCTCAGAGGAGCCAAAGTTTAACTTACCCTCTAATCTACATAATGCACAATCAGTCGACTGTTTTAAAAAAACGGGCTAACTCGAACCAAAGACAATTCAGCCCAGTTGCAAAAACGGTCAGTTTTTTGCAGGTTTAGGGTTAGGTTTAGGGTAAGGGTTAGAGTTAGGGTTTAAGGGTTATTGCAAAATGACAAAAAAATGACCGTTTTTGCAGCTGGGCTGAGTTGTCTCTGGTCCGAGTTAGCCCGGATCCTTTTGATTTTATTTTTTTTTTGTCCCGAAAATTGGGAAATTAGGCCGACCGATATTTCGTTCAATGGGGGGGGGGGGGGGGGGGGGGGGGGGGGGGGGGGTAAGGTTTTTTTTTTACCCAAACACACACAATGTTTTGTTTTGTTTTAAAAAGATTCTTTTTTGACAAAAAGTAAGGGTCGGCTTATCCTCTGATACCAGAACATTAAACAAATTTGAGGGGGGTTAACCCTTAATCCCACCGCCCCCCGTCTGCGTACGCGCCTGGTCACAATCATAACTACCAACATCTTCGTCATCTTCATGATCATTTCACCGTCATCATTATCACCATTCCCACAGGCCACCACCACCACCATCAATATCATCATCATCACCACCACCACCGGCACCGCCACTGCTATCACCACCACCATCACCATGCATTTTCATCATCAAGTGCCGGCGGAGCCAGTAGGCAGAGGGGTGGATGGGCACAGTGCCCCTACATTTTTAAGTATCTATACAGTGTCCCTTTTTACATAGGAATGGTGCCCCCTTTTACTTAAGATAAGTGCCCTTTTTATTTCTTAGAGGTGCCCGTTCTTCTTATTATAAGTGCCTCTTACCATCTCTGATAAGTGCCCCTTGTCACGTCTGAGAGATGCCCAATGTACTTTAACAAATGCCCTTTTCTTTTGTAATAAGTGCCTCTACCCCTTCTGTTAAGGACCCCTTTTCATATTGGATGAGTGCCCCTTCTCTC